ATTTTATACTTTAAATATACTTAAAATTGCAATTTTAAGTATATTATAAGTACATTTAAAAATTTTAAGTACATTTTAGATATATTTTAAAATATATAAGTACATTTTAAGTATATTTTAAAGAAATTTTTTTTCATAGGATAAGCATAACTAATCTATTAAAACTCTAAACCGGGTTTCCATCTTATAGATTACTTTCATGCCCTACCATCGATATCACCAATATAAAATTTACTTATATCCTCCTATAGTAGCTATCAGATTATATAGGATTATTATTATTCTATAGCTTCAGTATGTGCTTTCACTACCCTCTAAACAAAAAGAAGAAACTTATTATAATTTTTTAAAAAAAATATTAATAATTAAATTTATCAGAATTCTAATATCCATTTATTTTATTTATTTAAAAATAAAAAAAATAAAAAATCTTATAAAATAAATAATACTTACAAATTTAAAATTTATTTAGTTTAATTAATCTAATATTTTAAGAAGTGAGGGATTAAGTAAAATCTTATATAATATAAAATTAAACATTCATATTGGTTAAAATTAGTATTATATATATAATTGAATATTATTAATTAAAAAAAATCTTATTTAAAATAAGATTTTTTATAAAACTAATATTAATTAATATATATTATTAAAGTAATATTTTAATAATTAATAAAGTTCATTTAAACTAATAAAAAAAATTTAGGGTAGTCAGTATTTTCATTTAAATAATATTAATAAAATATTATTGAAGATTGATTACCCTTAATGCAGTTATTAAGGTGGTATTTCTTAATATAGCCTTAAAAATTAAAAGAATTTTACTGTAAACATCACTACCAATAATAGTGTAAAAGTATAGGAATTAATATAGAAGGACTGCATTATAGATTTATAATGAATTAGTATATCATATTAATCAGTAGTATATAGAGCTTTCATTTGAAATTAAAATATTCAAACATTTGTTTGTAAATCATAATTAAATCTATATTTGAAACTGAAATATTAAAATTTGAATCTATAAATAGATTCAAATATGTTATTAAATTCAAATATTATTTGATATTTGAATGTCATGAAATTTAAATGTTTTATAAAATTTGAATTTATTCAAATTTGTCACATGATTTCATTAATTTGACGTCTATTTGTGTATAAAATAAATAGACTGATCATTGATAAAAAAAATTCTTTAATAGACAATATTTAACTAATTTTTTTTTTTTTGACTATTATAAATTTATTATAAAAGAAGATCAAGAAACAGAATATAATAACAATATTAAAGAGTTTAAAACCAGAAAAAGTAAAAAAATTAATTTTTTTAAAAAGAAATTCCAATTTACTTGATATCATGTAATTATTTTAATTTATAATATAAAGGAAATAATATAAATATTAAATAAAATAAAGAAATAAAGACATATTTTTACTAAAAAAAAAATAAAGTTTATAATAAAATTATTTATTTTTTATGAAAAAAATTGCCAGATTTGACCCAACTATAGAGCACTCGTGTAACTCGAGTTGATTCAAGTTGAACTCGCACTTGAGTTAAAAATTTCTTGACTCGAATCAACCAGAATCACATGGTTGATAGTGCCAGCTGAATTCTATTTGTAATTCCTGCTAACACTATGCTATAACGGTCTAGATAAAATTATGAATAAGTTTTTTAGCCTGCACTTTAACTTTGACTCAAATTAACTTGAGTTAACTCGAGTTCTGATTTGAATTTTAGACTTGAGTACTCTTTGAGTCAAAAAAATTCTTGATTCGTTTTACTCAAATTAACTCATCCTAACTTGAGTCCAAGTTCTATCCAACTGTCCAAAAAAAAATTTATTTTTCAAAA